CAGTTGTATAGATTTTATGGCATATGTTAGCCACAGATCGTTTGGCACGTGCTATTTGATACTCATCATGAGCTGAAAACTTAAAGTTTGAAGAGTATGGTATGCCTAGATAACATTTGGGTAGTTTCACACAGATACGTTCACTGTTCAGTTTAACAGACTCTTCAGGGATTAAGCAGCCTTGTGACATAATGCAAGGTTTATTAGCTGAGAAATTTAGTATCCATGCGTTGCACCATTTCTCAAGTGAACTGTGGTCTTCTTGAACAAACAGCATTGCGCCATTGAGTTAGTCTAGTCAACATTTATAAATAATATGCCATCGGCAAACAAAAATGGCCTGCTATGTTTTATGAACACCGTGATACCGTAGGTTATTGCGCAAACTTTGGATATCGTATCGTCTGATTCATTGACGACTTTTCGTTTTCTGGCTTGACCTTAATCGATACCCATCGAAAAGTGTAATTTAATCCATTCAGTATTATCTATCGCGGTTTTCTTTCGTATTTCTCAGCTGAAGCCCTTCGTTTCCCCGTCATAGGCACTGGTCCAACAGCATATTGTTGCGCAACATTTGCCACTTTCCACGCTCGTTTCATCCCCCATATATATATGCTGGAGCTTACCAAATTTTGTTGCTGTTGTAACTGTTGGCAATTATAGCCAAGTCGCCGTTCGATCCGTGGTATTTGTTTAGGCAACGCCCCGTCTAGTTATATCGATGCAGAAGTACATCCGGGAAGATGAGAATCTATCTGGATGCAATTCATTGACGAAACGCTGCTAGGGAATCCATCTCTCATTAGTTTACTGACCCTATCACCAGCCAAGAAAACAGTTGTTTGCAGTATTTGATCCGGTTTCAGAAGCGGCATATGCGCAATGTAATAACATGTTTAGCCTTGAATCGAACTAATCATAACCTAAAACCATAATGGTTAAGAATACCGGTGGCTCGGATTCAAGCTTTAGTTGTTCGACGAGCTTGCTAATTTGGTTGCAAACGTTTCGTCACCAACCCAGATGTCATCATCAAATGCATACATTGATTCGCCTGTTACGAGATGTTACGACCAAGATACATATAAATCTGCATTGATGAACAATAAACAATGATTTGTCACGGGATAAAAGCAAGTGCTTGACACCTCACGTAGTATGGTTGAGTGAATATGACGAAATCAAAATATTTCTGGGTCATCTACGGAACGTCTGCCGAGATAAATACTTCGATAAATTACATCTGTGTATAATTAGACAAAATCGAGTGTAAACGTTCAGAAAGACACGAGAGTGAAGTGATCGATGATACAAGGCGTGAGAAAAGTAAAATATGGCCGCTCACTTGGTTCTATTTGATACACTAATTATGCAGAAATACATGCTTGAGGTAATCCAAAATAGAGGAGTTAACGTAACAAAATGCAGGGAGCTAAGCGCATGATCTAATTATTTTTTTGAAAAGAGCTGTTAGGGGAGGACACCACTGATTCTGGAAGTGGGTTCCAGTGTTGGTAAACCCGAAGGGAAAAGTAATTCCGTCGACAATCTAGACGATGGTGTCACCTCGATTGGTGACGAAACGTTTGCAGCCAAAGTACCAAGCTCGGTGAACAGTTGAGCAACTAGAATCACAATGTTTCTAATCCCCGATAAATTGTACTTCTGTTCTGTTTTCATTACCTTCAGTTGCATTAAAACGTAGAAGCATGATATGTATCAGTTGTGAAAGTAATATTTTCCTGCATCCGGGAAAAACTGGATGAAGTCTCTTGTTGTTGATGCACATTAGCCTCTTATCGCAACCTTCATCGAGTTGGCGAAAGAGGCCGTTGATGTCGCTGTTGATATGCAGTCACACTTTTCCAAGTGAAAAATGTAGTGCTATTCCACGCGTGTCGATTAGGCATGCGCAACAGATGCATCCAATGGAAAAACCTCACTGGACCAGGATTGGAATTGCCGGAGTGCGTGAAACCCTTTGTCCGATCACGAGCTCGTGTTGTAATGGTGCATAGATCGGCATCGCCAATTTTGCTTTCAGTCCTTCTACTCGTTTGCAAATCGAGGGACTAAAGTTGATATTTGGCCCCAATATATGTAGCTATTTTTCCCTATCCAGTAATTGTATTCATTGCTATTCAATTGACCAGCATTACCACTTTATTACATTCCATCGTCAGTACATCAGTGCACACATTGAAGTGCGTAACCCGCGCTTTGTGTGAAACCAAAGCATACTATCTGTGATTGCTGTGTTCATCATATAACCTTGCATCATGTAAGCGCAACCGAACTTAGTACAATATTGCCGATGCAGTCTTCAGGGTCGCGAATTATTTTCAACTGTGACTGTTCTGTCAGAGCTGTCCATAGACAATGATTTGCAATATTCTGACAGCTAGGTTTGAAGGCTTTTGCTAATTCTTTGCACTGCGTACCCCTTGCCGAGTGGGCTAACCAACAAAAGTGTGTCAGATGCACCGAAGAATAATCTTGATAGGGTGAATGTAACCCTTATCCAACATCCTGATGGATGGGACGAGAAAGCGCCGCCGTGGTCACAATGCACTTAAGCAGTTGCAGAGCTTCGACGACCAGAGTATTTATTGGTTTCGTTTCCAGTATGCACCAGTACACAGACGTGGTAGGGCTCCTTCCATGTTAAGTGTTTCATGAATACACTACCGGTAGCCATCAAGTGAGACCGCATTAAATTTCCTTGCCTGGTAGATGATAGTGAAACTAGCATGTACCCGAAAAGTAAAGTGAATACTAGTTCTGGTAGCAGTGACTAACATGCCAAGTCACAGGGTTGGATGAAATGATGAGCACCTTGTAAGTAAACACAAACCAGACGGGACTGACAAATCCAAATCGAGTGAGTGCTATGTTGCTCCACTCTACCCGGAATACCAGGAACATGTCGACTTATAAAGCAGTCCCAAGATTTTAGACATAGTGTGAAAAAGCCAACTTTGCACGGTTCCGTGCTTTCAATGGCGTCAGAAACATTACAATTCAACAAATCCACCAGAGCTGTTGATGATGTCCAGTAAGTTTTTTAGAATAAGAATTCCCCGATTAAGTAGGATAAACTGCTATTGGCCAAACATCATGACTACTGCCATATGCACTCGCAATTGCTCAAATGCTGGAGAACTGCATCCATCCAATAAAGCTTGAGAGTTTGGATTGCTCAGGATGATCTCGTGTGCAGTCAAGCATCATGAGAGTGGTCCATAATTTGGCAACTGGGTTTTCCTACCTTCCTGTGAAGTACTATTTGAAATATTAGAGTTATTTTAGCTGAGCTTGTTTCCACTTGAATTATTTATCCTAACCGACGAAACAAACTGCAACAATTCCTTGGACACACGCTTCCTTTTAAGTGCACAGCCGCTTTCTGGTTTCAGCACTGTGAAAACCCGGAACATGAAACTAGTATTTGCAGGCCTCAATTCTGTGTGCATGCCCTCACAATTGCCATTATTTGCAATGAAGAGCGCTGAGTCATTGTACTTCATCGCCACGTCGATTGCTTTTACAAACCTTGATGGAATGACGCAATTGATACTTCGCGGTGAACAGTAGTGAATCAACTTCCTTTTTCGGTTAACTATATACAACAGCAAATAAAAGCAGGTTTTGTGTGAACAATCAAAATATGCAGCAACGTTTTCCAAAAAGGTTCCCCTGTCACCACGTGAACAATGCACGTAATAATTACTAGGGAACTGGGTATGGAGGCACGGTTAAATTGCCATTTAGTCAATATAAGAAAGGTAATATTGTTTTACACCTGCTAAACAACAATAACTATCTAAAAGCTATCAAATTACCTACGTTTTACAGCTGATACCATGATAGTATTGGAAACTACTAACCAATAATTGTGAGTGTAAATCTATATTTAGGCGAATCGCACAGATGGTATACACGCAGAAACAGCGCAGTCAACACAATATTTCAGAAATTTATACGTAGTGTGTAAAAAGCAGTAGCTTTTTATATAAGCTGTTGTGTATTGGTTTTACCAACAGCGGTGCACTGCCTGAAATGCCAAATAATAGAGGCATAAATATACCTTTAATTTCTCCGAACAGGCCAAATACCAAGTACTACTTGCTACACTGTCTGGTTCAATATATAAAGCAAAATCCACACAACTCGTGTAAGAGTTGCTTTAAAAGCTACTCACTTGCCCCATCCACGAATACTGCAGCATAGTATGCAGAACTATGAGAAAGAGTGACAGAATTGCTGTGGAGCACCTGCAGAGGTCAATTAATAAACATCTGATTGCTAAACACTGCTATGAGTTATCGAGAACGTTGCAATGAACTTCATCTCGAACAACTTTGGATTCGACGATTTGAGCATAAATTGTTGCCATTTCTCAACGTGCTACACCAAAGACCCATTCCGACCTGTCTGCACTTGAATTACAACATTGCTCAACTCGAGCGCTTAGTCACAAAGTTTTACGCTACATCTACCCAAGGCTAGAACGAAAGTCCGCTCTAATTCCTTCCTGGTCAGATATAGCTATCTGTGGAATAACGTGCCAATAGCACTCAGGTCATGTGATAATGTGGTCACATTTAGAAGCAGACTAGCCAATTACCTTGATCTAAACACCATAATCTCAATATTCACATGGGAAAAATCCCTCTATGAGCTATTCCAAGAGGGGCTCGAAAACCTCTAAACATCAATGTTTTCAAATACAGGTATGGACAACAACCATCCGCTAGAACGTTAATAATTGAAACGCATGCCCAAATATTCCAGCTGTTCATATCACCAATTCAGGAGCATGAATACTTCTGTACAAATTGATCTGTGCCGCTACAGACACATTTGCTGGCATCAAGCGAAATATACGTATTATTTTTATTTTTATTATTAGTATTATTAGTATTATTATTATTATTTTATCTTTCAATCATCTTCCTTTTTACCAGTGTCGATTAAGCTAGCCCTTCTCATTTCAGGTCAATACCACCGGGACGTTCAACATGATTCGACTGGCTGCCGCAGCAATGGCAGAGAACCAACCAGATGAAGACAACCAACGTGGTGTCATTATAAACGCAGCTAGCATTTCAGCTAGTGACGGGATGGAAAAATCTGCGGCGTATTCGGCTAGCAAAGCTGCTGTGGTAGGAATGACACTTCCAATCGCACGAGATTTGGCTGGCCTGGGCATCCGCGTGGTAACTATAGCACCAGGTATGTTTCATCCCCCACTGTGTTGGAGCTTATTTTACTCCATTGTAACACCAGTTTGATTTGGTACTGGAATTCTGGGATTAGCAAACACACACACAACGTTAATCATCTTATCAGCAAACAACCAGTAGATGCCGAAATCTTAGAAATTTATCTTTCAACAAATTTACACAATTCCTCCATTTCTCTCTTCATGTACAGTTTGCAGAAGTAGACGCACTCAGAATTACTGATGGCAGCTGGTGCAACCTACATTCGTAGTGCTCCTCCCATCCGAGACAATATTGGGCTTAGTTCATGTGTGTATGATCTCTTTCTAGAGCCTTAATTGCAACTCAATTGATAGAACTATACCGTGCGCGTTTGGGGTACAACCAGAGATTCACGAGGACAGAAGGAGAGAGTTGGACTTGCGCATCAGTAGTGACCGCATAACTCATGTCCACCCGTAGACTCCTACCATATGTATTAACGTCGCAGCGATCTGATACTAGGTAAACATCACTGGAATCAGATGCAGGTGAATCGCGTACGCTAATCACCGGGTACTCACAGTTCAAATCTCATTGACGACCAGGAGTTAACCGGATGATAGCATTGCGAGAAAATGCTGCATTTAGATTATTTTCGCCTCTGGGGCACCATCGTAGTTGCGACAGCTTAAGCAACAACCGGTTTCTTTGAGTTGTGTTTAGTAGAAGTACCATATACCTTGTTACACACACGCTACAGCACGTGGCTGAGGGTATTCCTCTAGTAGCAAATGTCAAATAGTTATGTATGAATTCTTATTGGGCTAGGAGCCCACAACCAGTCAAGCGAAACTATCTGAGTGGCAGTCCCGAGGATGTACGTGGTTAACTACATTACTCAAGGTCTCCTAAAAGATAGAAAAATATCAGCTTATTCAATAAGATACTCGAAACGCAATTAAACAAACTTAACAACCTCAAAGCGTAGCTAAAGCAGTCAATGAATAAGTGCAACACCTCTTATCCTTGGAGCAATTTGAATGTTTCACACAACTTCCATACGCGCGTGGTCATTAAAAGCTACTGATTCATCTATATCTAGCGGTAGATTATGGCCTGAATCATTACAATGATTGTTATATGGTCTTTACCTCTACCTCCTTACGTCACAAGATCTCACTTCGCCCGCAAGTTTAATACCTCCTTGTTGTTCTTAACTGGATCAAGCATATGCAGGTCACGTTATCAGGCAATAACAGTTTCCTATGACCAATCCACTGAGATGTGTAGGGGTCAAACGCAAGCGGGATTTTACCTGAGGAATAAGTTAAGAGCACTTACTAGCTGAACTATATAATAATTGTTGGAAAAATCGGCATTGCATAATATCTGACAAGACATCCCAATTCTCCAACTTTCCAAACGTCCACCATAAAACAGACGAAAGAAGTTATGAAATAATATCCCAGATGTAAAGCGATTAATAGCGTGGGTACGGGGATCTTGGAAACATTTGTTGATGCAGCTATGTAACAACATTTCCTTGTAAATGCTAAGCTTTGTCAGACCTGGTGAAATGGCACTTAGTTCTATTTCCAATACGAATCTCACATTCGGAAAGAGCCAAGAGAATCCGTTCGGTTGGCTATGCATAAGAGTAACTGAGAAAAGCGTCGCAGTTGTATCCTGAAATGCCTGAAGAATAAGATAATGATTGAATCCGTCATACGGAAACCAAGTACTACTTTTAAATTCGCAGGGATATTGCTCAATATATCCAAAAGTTTTTGAAACGGCAAATGCATTTAACAGCAGAAACTTTGTTTGAGATTCGCATCGACCCAGAGTAGATTTGACAGCCACCATTATGCAAACGCATTCTGATGGACTTTCCGACAACGGTTCATAAGTCATTAAAAATGCTGAGAATGTTTTTAAGAAAGTCAGTTTCATATGGTTCACTGTTTTATTTTCATGAAACACGATGCCACCAGCCTCATTGTCAGTACTGGATGTAGTGATTAAAGAGGGTAATTAATTCGTCAGGTGTGGTTTTGAAGGACACAAGGAGTACATTGATGTTTATTATCAACACTTTTAAATTAAAGGCAAAGTAAGTAAATGCTACTGCAAAATTCGTAGTAACCAATTTGTTCATGCGAACTGCGGAGACTCTCCGTTCACAGCCAATAAATATCATAAGGTTTTTGCAATCAGGAAGATGTAATCTTGCATCGGATGGACAGATTGATTTGGAGGTCTTGAAGGAAGAACGTAACATTGCAATCACAGTGGGTAATATAGCTAATAATATTTATACTGACCAACTTGGATTACTAAGAAAACTGAGGCAGTTGCAGAGACAGGGGTGTATAGGTTAAATAAGAATAAAACCGTAAAGATGGTGATGAATAACAAGAAAACGGATAAATATTTGAGAGCACTGTTAGACAATTCCATGGAAGAAGAACGTTTTGATCTCGCCCCAAAAGCGACTGTACCCCCGAAATTTTATGGGCTGTGAAAATACGCAGGCCTACTGTCAATTTGCGGCGTAACTTCAACGACATGTACAATCCAATAAACGAAGTCGCAGATTAGTATGCATCAATGTCGCAGACCCTAACAGAAAATACGAGTGCCATACTGTAAACGTCGTGCGTGTTTGTCCAAAATAAAACACATCTCACCGACTCGCCGGAATAAGTAAGGGTTTGTATCGGTATAACCTCGCTTTTACTAAAATATCTAACAAGGAAGAACCGGGGATAGCAAGTGTTGTTCCTCAGGGTGCTGACGATGTACACAATGGAAGTGGGCAGAACGGTGACAAGGAAAGGGACGATGAACGAACTACTGCGCGGTGGTTATCAGTGGCGTTTAGTGACGCGTTAGTTGCAAAAACTATCAAACTCACAGATAAGGCCAACAGCACATTGGTCATAGGTTGTGGGAATTTCCTACAACGAAGGACCATAGAAAACAAAGTTGAGGTTACTGAACAAGTAGGGTTTAGTGATAACGTTCCAGCGTAACCAAAATTTGCGTTTAACCCTGTTGCGTTTGAAGAGCTGCAATCCCACTGATAGGACAAGTAACTATACGTACAAGGTCAACTGGACACACTACTATCTTAATCAAAAGCTACGGAGTCTAGAACATAAATTTCAGAATAAAAAATGTATAGTTTGCGAGTAATGAGTTTGAGTACAGAGTTCTGCTAATAGATCCTGCCGTAGCAATGCATGTGCTAGGCATCGGCAATCAGATCGATCAAGCTAAAACTGACCCCCATGAGCGAATGTTTATGAGGGACGCACCAGAGGATGATTGTCGTAAGAATGGAAATCACCAAGAAGGATATTTGTGTGAAAAAATCGGGTAGGGGGTTCTCACGACTACATGGTGAGTCATTGATATCCGGCCAGATTGGTGGGTGTCGACAGGTCGTCAGCTTAGATAGCAAAGACCATGTCATCATGGTTAATAAAACTAATTGTCGATGCGCCGGACGTTAAAATCACAAACCCATACCAAGCTCGTTGAACCAATTAAGATGACTCCTACACCTAAGTCTGCCAAGTCCAATGACTCATGTAGTAGTTGGCGCCATCCTTGCTCAATCGATCGCCCTCTATTTAATCCTACGCCAGCAATAGAAAATTCAGCTAATCGGACAAAGAATTTGCGTCACAAATGCCACACTGCCAAATCAACAGCTTAGTCGATTTGCATTTAGGAGTGCTGGTCAAAATCGCCTGCCAATCATCAACAGTTTCGAACCATTTGGAAGTTTCAGGTAGAGATAGCGACTCTCGAACCAGGGTCCAATTAAATATCAGCCGTGTGTACTACTCATAGACCACAAATTTGCGTAAAATAGTGTTAGAAGTATTTTTGTCTGACCGTGCCAGTCATACACACAACGTGTGCTTTCAGAAGAACTTTTAAAGCACACACTAACGGTTAAGGCAAGCCTCGTTTGCCGTGTCACGGTCGTATAAGAGACGAAATATCGGATAACATCCCAAAGACTCGGGGTTCGAGTCCACGCTATCTAACTGCTGTGATCAAAAAGTTCCGCATTGGCTGTGGAGTTCAGTCTTTTCGAGCATGCAACACCCACTTTCCATCTGCATCTTCAGTTTCGGTTCCAGTGCTCGAATTAACCAAAGTTCATTTTAATGGGAATCGCGGTCCACATTGAGATTGTGTGATGCAATTTATGCATATGACGATTGCATCAAAACGGCACTCCATTCATTAACCGTTTCTCGTTGTGACCCGGTGCATAAATGAGTAGAGGTCCCTGATTCAAAGCCTGCTATCCCTACCTTAGGAGGTCAACCAAGGTCAAAACGTGAGGGGTAGTTCAGTGTTTTCGAGTTGCCAAAATCCATATTTCATATGCTTCGGATACGGTCCTAGTGATTGGGTCGCCCTTCATTACAGTATGAATCGTGGTCGATATTGAGATTGCTTTTGTCGTCCATTTACACAGAGTGCTTCAAAATGTCTTCCCAAAGCAATCATTAAACTACTTCTCGCAAATCTCCCTGAAATAACCACTTTTGATCGGCTCCACGTATATTCTAAGTGTTCAAATGATAAGTTAGACGAATTCCATGTGATTAATTGCCGTTTGGAACAGTGTCTACAGTTCGTCACATACCCTGCAGTTTTTGGCATTGCCGATATAATCCTGGGGAAATTGCTAGCCGCTAAATATAATGCGTTGCCAGGAAAATACAACAATCTATCAGGATGGCAATTCCAGCGCAACCCATGGTTAAAATGGATCATTTTGTCTTCCATAATCTGATTCATAAGCAATTTAGGGCATCACAATACATATGGTATGCTAATTATTCCTGCGTTTTAGAGCTTACAGGTAACAGAGCAAATTGCACGAGTTCCGCCCCAGTTCCGCTCATATTTACTATTTTCAAGCAGAATACTTGCTCTTAGGGTATGTTAGAAGAGCATGTATGTCAAAAGCTACCGTACTTAGCGCCAGTGAAAAGGACAATAGTTTGATTGTGTACATGGTTTCATGATTTACCTGACAATTTCAATTTGCCAGTGAGTACAAAATGAACGAGATTACGTAAAGAAACGCCATTGTCCGATTCTTAATACGTTTGTTCCTTTAGGTTTAAATAACTCAATCCCACCTGTTTATTCACCGCGGCTAAACTACAACTATGTTTCTAGAAAGTAGAGTTTGAACGAACTGAAAGACTTTGCCTACATCGTTAACAATTCTGCTTAGTTAAATACACGTAAATGATCGACGCTCAACTGAAAATAGCCTTTTTGAACGTCGGGGTTTTCAGATTTTTGGCTGCAGTCGCGCGTTGGGCACCATTGTAAGTTGGAATCTTTTACAATAATTGTTAGTTTATAACTTCGTGGGTAGATTTTCACACACGTGTTGTTGCATTTACCTCTTCTGAAACCTTTTCTCTCGGACATACAGGCGCGTTCAACACCCCTATGTTTGCTAGTATATCTTCTGAGACCACTTCGTGCCCGTCCCCATGCAATCCCCGACGCACTGGCAAGCCGGAGGAGTTTGCTCATCTGGTTGAAGCCGTGATTCAAAACCACATGCTGAATGGTGTGGTGATTCGTTTGGATGCAGCTGCACGCTAACACGAATGACTGATTCCGGTAGGCCAACAGCTGCTCTCTAGCGTTCCTTCAATCAGTTCATAATCAGATTTGCAACAGAACTTCCTGACAAGTGGATGATTTTGCACCTAATTCAAACTCGTAAGGCAATCAGTCAACCGAAAGTTACACAAAACTGTTAGATTTAGCATTAGTTATGTACATGTAGTTCCTTGAATCAATGTACCAAAAAGAGCATTCTTACCAACTGTTTTGCTTCCACAATTTCCATTGTTTAACAAATTTTTGGGTAAGAGGTTAAAATCGAAAATTACACATGCCATCAACTGATACACTAAAGGAGCTGCACGGGGATACACGAAATGCGAATACTTGAAGCGCACCGATGAGTGGTGAGAGCAGGAAACTAATAATTCAATGTGAGCACACAAAGATTGTGCGTGTTGCCTTTAGCTGCGTTTCTTTGAGGAAAAAATACTGACTCCTAAACTGATTTTCAAGTATTGGTAAGAAATATGGTTCTAGCAAGAATATCAAGATGCGCGTGGGTAACGACGATGTCTAATCGCTTTTAAATGAAGCTTTAAAAAAATAGAGGAGACAGCTGAGTTTGCAAGGGTCTCAACATTGGTAGACGTAACATATAGACTATTTCCATCCTTAATTTAGACGGCCGTTTTACCACTAACTTTCCAATGTTTTGTTCTGAATCTGCTGTATGTGATGCCTTTTATAATATATAGTGAACACCTGATCCTATGTCATGGGAACAGGTAGAACATTAGACCTAAATAAATTTATCGAAATAATCAACAAATACGCTAAAGTAATATGTCTGTGGCACGTCATTAATCGAATCAATTCAGATCACAGTGCAAAAATTGTATATCAGCAATTCTGGTTTCAAAACATGATATGTCATTGCTAGACAATCATTTTTCTCTGGACAGAAGAGTTGAGAAATACAAGTTGAGCAATGCGTGCGGAGTTTGACTCCACTATATACTCTGATAGACTAGTTTAAACACTAACCACACATCGCTCCAAGAAAAGGGGGCACGGAAAACTCTATTCGTCTCCGGCACCACAAACTTTTCCGTGTAATCGCATTTATTTCAGGGTATCCGCTGTTGAAACATCGACCACAGCAAGGGGAAAGTGTACTCACACCCGACGATCGGACAGCCCTATTCTCTCATACGGGTCTTCATACAACAAGCCCGTAAAGTGGGGATAAGCGTGGTAGACACCACTTGAGTCCCCGAAGTAAATTACTGGACGATCGGCTGGTTAACCATATTCTAGCAATGGTCTTATGATGAAAAAGTAAAGATGAGTAATGAACTTGTCAGATCGGAAACGGAAGCTCCGTTTGAGCGCTTAAAAGATGAGCATCCCGTTTTGATGTAGCTTGTTCGTGTCCTCGTAGGATTTGAAGTCGCATGGTGAGTTTGCACCCCGGTTTATTTACGAAAATGCTAGTAGTGTCCCTTGACCATCGCAGGCATAAAACCGGTTGTCACCACCTTTCCACTGTCCCATAGATTCCGACTTGACTGGGTTGACAGGGATGGGGACTTCCGAAGGCAATATGAGGAGTAGGGTGAGGTGTTACTGAAGTAGGTTATTGTCATCGGGGTGTCAATCACTCCACACATCTTGTGGTCCTCGGCGAATAAAGAACAACACGAACGGTGAAGTTGAGATGAATCCTAAATGTGTATGAAACACAAAGTAGACCTAAGCACCGTGCGCTGGGATACACCACTGATCGTAGACTGCCGGTTGGTTAGACTGCAGTCTAACAGACCCGTTCATTATTATGCAAAATGAAAACACCAATGTCGTGAAGCAATGAGATTTAAAATCCTCGCACGTTCAACATGTCGGCGTTGACGAGCGCTTTGTTGAAATGCATTGAGAGCGCGTCAATAAAATATCTCGGTTTGTTGTCTGCATTTATTTATGCATCGTGATTAATAAATTGGTTAGGCACGAAAGCTTTGGACAGGAACAACTGTCAAAAACGTCTTTCTGCGATCCTCTGGGTTACCTTAGCTTAAATATGTGTCTGATAAGTCGATGCGCAGAGGTCACTGAATTTTAGATGCCTACTTAGCAATACGCGTTTTGAAGCACTGGGGAATGGACGCCCGGTTAGCGACTAGTTAAAGTTAAGCCACGACTAACTTCGAAACATGTCACAGAGTGCAGTGTTTTCGGGTGGGCAACAACCTGTTTCTATCTGCTTCATCAGCAACGGTCTTGGTGTTCGCAAGACCAAGGTTCACTTTAATCCTTTGTGTTCTGGCGCTACTTATAAGTACCACTTTGTTTAAATTGTACTATTGCTTAAGTGCAAGCATTATTCCTGCTACTACTCTCGAGGATAGGTATAATATCCTTCTGGCAACAGTTCGGTAAGGGCCACAAATCTGATACTTTGCTGTCCAGTGTGTGAAGTTGACTTTAGTGGTTCATGCTTCGCGTGGTCGAACGTTGGTTTCAGACAACTGTGTGAGGTTACTCTATTTGCCAAAATTCAGTTGATTTTGTTGATGCTAACCATACCAATTAATTTGTATTCGTTTTGTATTGGGCATGCCATATTTAGAAATATTTGTTCTACAATTTAAGCATAATCCCCATTATGCTGATCCAACATATACTTTGGTACCAGAAAGTCCCGCCTGATCACAAGCGAAATACTAACAGATGGAGCCCTTACTGAGCATAACGATGCGATAGGGAACAAACTTTCGAGATCTGAAACATTTATACTAGCAACAGAAACTAATTTATTTAACGTTTCTTATTGTCCTTTTTCGCACTGCCTATACATATATTGGGATATGAAGGCAATAAGCCGTGGTTAGAAAATATGGTGTCGAGCCAACATGTGTGGTTCTATTTATGGGGTTGAAGGGTATCAAATCACAGGACACTCCTAATTCTAAGGACCGATTTGGATTGGGGAAGTGTTGTGGACAGAATCACCTAAACTGAAAGGTAATGAGAAGGTTGTGGTAATGGATAATTGTCTCACATCTGTGGGATTATTTGTACAGCTGAATGCGAACAACATTTTTGTCGGTGGAACTCTCCGTCCCAACAGGAAACATCTTTCTAACCTCCAAGCGGAAAAGGAGATGAAGAGAGGTGATTTTGATTCTCGCCCTACAGATCAAAGAATTGTGTTCCTCAAGAATATCATGGGACAATGATGGTAACCTACGTTCTTGTCGGTGCTTACAAGTACCACCTCAAAAATGGACATGAAAATAATCACAATAATTTAAGTTCTTTCTTTTTATGCTTGTTATTAACCAAAAGTAACCTTAAGAAATAAATAAATAATGAAAAAGTTATAGATAAATTAATTCAGGATTTCAAGGGTTAATGGGAATCGGGGTCAACATTGAGATTGCATGTCTAAGCCAGCCAGATATGGTGCTCTTCAAAATGACCTCCAAACCCAACATACATCGGACCGGCTTGGCTTCAAGTTTATGGGCCACGTGACACAAACTCTTAGGGGTTGAAAATGGATGTTTATATTCCGCAACAGATATCAGTGCAGCCAGTGTTGTCCCGCCGCATCATCTGTGATAGATTCTGGCGGAACATTTAAATCGGCTATTGTCTTTTCACTGTTCGCCTATTTACAGCGACCTCAACATACGGCAGCCGATATTTTGGTCTTTTCAAAAGTAAACTGCCTTACTGCGTGGGCTCGTTTCAGGCGGTCAAGTTCTTCCGCTGGGTTCAAGTGTTTAGTAAGCACAACAAACTTATCCTCCATGGAACTGCTATGGTGGTCAGAATTAGCTGAATCCGCACGCATTTTGATTCTTTCCATTTTCTCATGAAGCTATCCGCGAATGACGGAACAAGTATAGGTTCCATGACCACACGGTCCCTTTGCGATAAAAAGTGCTAGATATTACAGGATCTGCACCTTCCAGGTGCAACACTAGGCAGCCGTTTTAACTCACATAATCTACACATTAGGTTCACTGGCTTCGTTATGACATAACAACTGTAATCGATTTTTCCAATCAGCAGAGCATTGTTGAAAACATCATAGAATAGTAGCAACTTTACTTTTATGTTTGAGTCATCGATGCTTTCGAGAAGCTGTGAACTGTCAAGTATGATGTAAGCTGTAAGCTTTGTCGCACTGATTCAATAATTGTTACATCCAAAGATGCAACAGCGTAAGAATGTGGGTTGATCATCAACAAGGTAACACGGAGCGGGATGTTAGATTAATGAGATTTTGGTAACCCATAAAGCTTAGGAAAAATTGCGCCACTTGGTCTGTGGATGTCACGCAGGGCATCTGAACTTTTCGCACTCATCCGAAGCTCTTGTGAGCGCCGAATGTCCATGGTCCAAAAAGCATCCATACGTTTTAGACGCTTAGTCGAATTAGTAACTAGTGATTTCTTCCGGTCATACGGGATTTCAAATTTTACCTCTTGAGGATTTAATTATATCTGTTGCTGGGAGCAAATATTTTAATCCAATGGATAAAAATTTGACAAATCTGTGTTCACCTTTAAACATAGGACGTTATGCACTGTCGTAAGATCAAACTACTGGAAACCGAGCTGGAACAGACAATAGATACATTTTAACCAGTATTGTCCAGTGAATTTTAAGAGATCCTGAGTTCGAAATTGTTTTGTTAGAGCACACCGAATATGCCGGGAAGAGTCAATCGAGGCTGTGTTGCGACACATCTAGTCTAACCTACGCAATAACCGCTATCCGAACAAATTTATTGTCAAGTATGGGAATGATGTTCTTAAGCAAGCAAAACGAATGGATGTCCCAAAATCAAAGGTCTTCGTCACGTTACCATACAAAGCGGAACAGAACGACAAAAGATTGTGTTACCGATTACGCCAAGCCATAAAAGATGCCACTACGCAGCTGAGCTAGTGTTGTTACATCAAACCAAGAAGCTGTTCCATGAATACAACTTGTTTCACTCTCAGATTACCGCCTCATGTGTT